AAAAAAGAGAGAGAGAGAAAAGTGTCATAGAGTGGGTAGAGAGAGGTGATGGGAGGGGAGGGGGGAATAGGAAGGGTAGCAGAATACAATAGACACTAATATGGCTGTATGTATAAATGTGGTTGTAAAACCAATGTGATACTGCAATCTGTACACGTAAAAAAAAAAAGAATTCACACCCCACTTGAATCAAATGTATGATATATCAAGATCTTTGTAATGATTTGAGCAACTAATAAAAAATTAATTAAAAAATATGTACAGTTGTTATGTGTCAATTAAAAATTCAACAAAATAAATATACTACTTTAACAAGAAAAAAAAAAAGAAAAGAAAAGAAAGAAATTAGGACCAAATGTATAAGTTCATAGCCACTCAGAATCAAGTAAAGTAGAGAAGTCTTTAGAAAAGTCTTTACCTTTTTTACCTTGGGCCAGTACCACTGTGTCTTGCATTTTCTTATACCTGTTTAGGCACTGTCGGAGATCTTCTATTTTTCGATCCTATAAATAAAATAAATTATCATCTTTAACATTATGGTTTTAAAACAGTAGTGGTAAGTCTGACAGAAAGAATAAGCGGACATGAATTACATACATTATTCAAAGAATACTTCTAAACTTTAGTAAAACTGGTAATATCTAGAATATTTTTCCTACATATATCAGAGATATGGAAAAAGTACCTCTGAATTTAGAGATCCTATCCTTCAGCTGCCATCTTTAAAAAACAAAAACAAAACATGGTAATAAGATACAATAAAAAAAAACATGAAAAAAATCAGCTTTAATTACTCTTCTAACTTAGAAGTTCCGTCTTGAAAGAAAAACCCAAAACCTGTGTTAGCTATCTTTATTATCCACTATTAATAGATATCTAGTTTCTTCCTTCTTAAAACTCACCAAATTGGATTTGATTCATCATCATTGACCTTTGATCTATTAAACAATATATTACCAATTAACATTTTTCATCCCTTTTCTAATTTAATCTCTGTCTGGAACTTTATTGACCCCACTCTTAACTCCTTTCACTTCTCTGTCCACTCTTTCTTTTGATATCTTAATCCTTTAACTAGATATTTGTCATTGTCTTCTTCTCCTCTTTTATCTATCTATCTATCTATCTATCTATCTATCTATCTATCTATCTATCTATCTATCTGCCTATGTATGTATCTATCTACCTACCTATTTTCTGGTGGTGCCAGGGCCTTATATACGCCAGGTAAGAGCTGCTACYGCTGAGCTACATTCCCAGCTTTAGATAGTCTATTTCTATAACCCCCATTATTTCTCAACCTGAGCTATAAAATGCTGGAGCTCCAAAGTTCTGTCGTTGMCCCTCTTGACTCTTTTCCTATGCCCTCAATTGTGGCGATTAAAATGGCCTCCCCTARTCCTGATTCTGGGACTGGACATGTGACTTAATTTGGCCAATAATATAGCAACTAAGCATTTGCACCTTGAGGCTGCCCTCTAGTGCTGCTCTAGGGAACTCTGAGGAACTATGTGAAAAAGCCTATGCTAGTCTGTTGGAGGAAGAGAGATTATTTGGAGAAGAGACAAGTCATTCAAGATAGGGTGAACCCAGACCAATGCCTCAGTTACCAGACATGTTAAGTCARATTATTCTAGACCATGTAATGCCTCTGAGCTGCTAGCTTAGAGATCAGCTAATCCAGCCTAGACCAGAACAACCTTCTTGTCAAACCACAGAAGCATGAGAAATGATAAACGTGGTTTCTCATGAAGCAAAAGCTAACTGACACATCAACTGTAAATTAGCTTCTACCAATTTACAATTCTGGATTTCTTCAGAAATGGAGAGGTTCAATCCCCACTAATTCATAATTCCACAAATCTTAAAATTTAAATTTGTATGCCAATTTTCTATGAAAAATCTCCTTTAAAATGTCCCATGGGCATATAAAATTGAATATATGTAAAACTAAGCTCATTATTTTCCCCTAGTACTTACTTAAGCCTCTGCTTGGATTTCCTTAATYATCATCCACCCAGTTGCTCAAACCAAAAATTTATTCTCATTTCTCAAATCCAGAGATCTGAGAAGCTTGTCAATCTGTAACTTTCTCTAAGATTTTGTCCTTCTTTACCAATTTGCTGCCATTGCCTGATTGTAAGCCCTCTTCATTTCTCATGACTATATCAACATCCTCTTAATTGTGCTGTGTTCATTCTCCCTCTTATTCTSGCCTCCATTCTGCCACCAAAGTTAGCTTTCTAAAAATAGCAATTTAATTTCGTCATTTCTCAAGGTCTACAAGCTCAGTCCCCAAATCATGAGMTTAGCAAAGTTGCTTTAGTCAGTCACACACCCAGCCGCAACCCCTGGATATCATGCTCAACACCTTCCCACTATATCCTAGGATATTTCAAGCCTGGGTTTCCACATGTGTTTTGGCTCATGGGCCCTTTGGCTAGAAGCCTTCGTTTTCCTGATGAACTACTGTTTCTCCTTGGAATTTTCCTCTTTGAACTCTGGAACCCTCAAGAAAGTTGTTACTCTTGGTGTTCTTGGCAGCTTGGGCATCTAATAGGAGTTCATTAAACATCAGGAGTTTTGCTTATTGTTGCTTTTTTAGGAAGAAAAACTAAAACAAAATGAATGTTAGTCATTTTTGTTGTTGTTGTTTAAATAAAAGGTATGGCGGGCAGCTTGCTAATTATTYTTGTTTTGATTCAATATTGGGAAAGACTAGAAAAAGAAACCTGCAGATGGGCAGGTGAGTATGACAATGAGTTTATTTCCACAGAAAAAAAAGAGAAAATAAAGAAAATGATAGACAAAATGATAAGGAAGTAAGRAAAATAGAACAGGCAAGAATTAGAGAAAGTTATGATGACAGAAAGTGATCAAGCCAAAGTTCTTGACATTTTGTTGCTTTTTTACTTCCCTAAAACTACTCTTTTTTGGGGAACATGTCCCCTTGTTTTGTTCATTCAGGGATACAAAGGGGAGAGTAGTTCTAACAACATGAACTGGACCTAACAGTTGTGGTCTGCTGGATATATGAATGATCATGTAGGCCACAAAGAAACACATCACCTTAGTGGGTAACTGCATCCCTGCTCATGACAGGGTGAAACATCAGATGTTGGGGAGGTAAACCAGCCAGGAAAAAGACATCTGGAGGCATTGGTTTCAGTGACATTGGTTTTAGAATGTACTTTCTTTTATTTGTCACCTGACTATGCAGAACTCCTCTGATGGCCTGAACATTTTCTATATTCACAGGAATAGGAGAGGGTAGGAATCTCAGTGGAGCTAGTGCCACTGCTCCTTATTCCTGTGTGCAAAGCCATGATTACAACTGCCATTGCTGAGAATGTGCACACACAGGCAGGGAGGGAGAAGGCTATCCCTTAATGTGGGCAGAGTTCAGGGTATGTTCTTTCAAACTGAGAAAGCTCAAGAAATTGTGTGGAATGGTCAAAATGGTGTCACATAACATTAATGTACATATTTAAATTTCATCCAATACCTTTTCATCATTTGCTGCCATTAAAGATTCCACAGCCTTTTTCATCTTTTGTACTTCAATATCTGAAAAYAATACAATATTGAATCATAAATCAGTTTAATTATCCTGAGAAGCTACTTACTCTTCAGATGAAATGTTTTAAGGTAAAGATGTTATTGATTTGTTTTATTTGTTTTTAAAAAGGAACACATTTAACACCTATATTCTCTCTTAAGGAAAACCTAAAAGGTGAACACTTCTTATCTTAACAGCTGTGATTCCAGAAAAACGATATGGGTACAGGAGAACTAAATTCTCCCTCAAGCAACAATGAAATTCTCCCTAGTACACTAAAGATGGAACTTGGTTGTATAACAATAAAAACACAGTTTTCAAAAATGGAAGCTATAAAGCAGTGATTGAAAGCAATGAATGGTATACATAATGACCAAAGCAGAGAAAATGATGCTCAGTTATAACTAAGATGGAGGCATGGATGGTAAGAGCCTGATGGATTGTGATATTTACATGAATAGTCATGCTTAGAAGTTGGCTGTAGGTTCCATACAAAAGAATAATAAATACTTTGCTTCATCTATAAACTTCATTTCCAACACTATTTTAAGGCAAACTTCAAGACATAAGGACCAAAGTAAGTTGAAAGTAATTTTCCTTAAAATTTGATATTCAGGGGCTGGGGTTATAGCTCAGCGGTAGAGCGCTTACCTCGCACATGTGAGACACTGGGTTCAATCCTCAGAACCATATAAAAATAAATAAAGTAAAGATAATTGTGTCCATCTTTTAAAAATTTGATATTCAAATTCAAAAGCAGATTACTTGAATAACAAAATATTTTAAAAATGAAAAATTCATCCAAAAGTGAAAGTACAAATTAAATAACTGAAACACCAAGAAAATATATGCAAAATAGCTTCTAATGTAGATTTCATGAAATAGTGGATTTCCAAACATGGAAAAGCTAAAGCAAAGTTCAAATTGATCTTTCAACTGTGGTAAACCTTAAAAACAATGCATTTTCATAGAATATAAATGTTATTWTCCCTCTTTACCTGGACGACAGAGAAAATGTTCTCTGATCTCCACCCTACTGGATGCCTTGCTCTATCCTGCGCAGCTAAAGGGTTGAATCGGGCAAAATCTGCAAAGTGATCTTTTCTTCCATATTTTCATTTTCATTGTCTGTTTGTCTAGCCTCTATTTTGTACACTCGGAAGAAATGGAGGGCTTATTGATGAAGCAACATTACATCTTTGGTGAGAAATGTTTTAAAACACATGCAAAGAACAAAGTAGTACTTCTGGTGATGCAAAGGCTGATGGAAATACACCAAAACCTTACTTTTTTCTTTGAGCTTCTTTTTAAAAGTTTCATCTGTGCGGGAAAACCCATTGAATTGAAAGTTAGCAAACATTACAGCAATAAAAAATATTTTAAACATACTATTAGTCTCCTTTTACCTAAAATGAAGGGATTCTAACCTTATAAAAACATTATAAGAAGCATTATTTTGTGACTGTAGGACTGATGGGAGGAGACTGATCAGAAAAATCTAACTTCAAATTACTACATCTGAGTCTTCATATTTCTGAACCTTGATTTTTTTGTGGGAAAATCAGACATAACAAAATCCAAGTGTTTCCTAAACACCATATGCAATGAAAAATGAGTTAATGTTGCTTTGGTAGTTTTTTCATTTCTATAACAGAAATGTTACATGTTCAAAACATGGTCCTCTGGAAAGTGCCCAGTACAATGCTATGCCACACTGAATTCAACACTCARGTTCTGCAACACTGAAATGGTCTATCAGCCATTCAATGAGATGAGTCATGTTGAGCCAGTTATATATGCCACAAAATTTCCAAGACTTTTCTCTGTATCTGCCRTTATCTGTTTGTACACTGGTAACAAGCAGTTCATACACTGGGTCCAGTCCTCAGTTCAGACTGTGGGCAACACTACTCTAATACATCCTCAAGTCCTGTGATTCCATTTTCTTTTCAAAGCACTAAAATGGGGCTGAGGCTGTAGCTCAGTAGTAGGCCTTGTGCCTAGATTAATCCTCAGCGTGTGTGTGTGGGGAAGCAAGCCTATTCCTGAATGCTCTTTGACAATATCTTACATATTCCAAAATATGGGAGATGAAAGGAGGGGATTCCATTCCCTTCAGGTTTGAGGAACTGATGAACAGGGAATTATGATACCTACAGGTATATAAAACCACAGTATTCTAGARCCAAGAAGGACTTTAGAGGCAATCTAATTCGAGTCAGAAAATAATGTTATTCATTTTCACATAACAGATAAAAATATGCCAATGCTATACTAACTGAAATCTGTTCTGTTTCAAATGACTCAGAAGTTGCTTTGGTATTTTAGTGTTGCAGTCTTCCTTCCTTTATAATCACAAAGAAAGGCTAAATTTGACCTAGTGTTGTCAGATGTTTCATCAAGTTATTTTTCATCATGTATAACCTATATTATCAGCATTACAAACAATACAGTATTCAGAAAAATCCTCCTTAGTTATGAAAAAAAAATCTTTGGATAAATTCATACATTTTTCCAAAACAGAATAAGCCTATCTTTGCTCTCTAAAAGATTGAGAGCTTGGCCCACAGTAGGAAATTTTCACCAATATTCCAAAGATAGAGAGCCATTCCTTTTTTCTCTTAAAAGAGTAGGGGAGGTTTCTAGATCCCTTATTTCATCTTTTCTCAAGTTCAGTTCAGAGGAAAACAATCTTGGGACACAGTAATTGTTCCTTTTGCKTCTTCCAACATTCCCTTGTATTGCAATTTGAAAAAGTATGCTCTTGTGATGAAAATGTACAATTTAGTCAATTAAAGTGAACACCCAATGAAGTACAGAACTGCCCTACCCCTGCTGCTTCAGAGAAAGGTCAGGACTTCTCTTGCCACAGTAGAGTCCCAGAGAACTCCCTGTGGCTGTCGGCATACTTGGTCTGTTACTTTCCCCATTTCTTTCATACTGAAATTATATGTTGACTAACTTTAGATTCTCTCCTAGATTTTTGAGGATTTTAACAAAGTAAGATAACAAAAGTTAAACAAATATCCCTACCTCTATCAAGAATCTCAACCCCTTCTCCTTTCATCTTGCAAACCAACTTTTCTTGCAGCCTTTTTACTTCAGATTCCTTCTCTTCCAGTTGTTCTTTTAAAGATGCCAGTTCATCCTACAAATTGTAAATTTATTTTAAAATTGTATATTATGACTGAAAGGGAATATTTAAAGAGCACATTAACTCTTTAGATCAGTAATCTGATTGGACAAATGAAACAAAAATCTACAAGAATTTAGACACAAACATCAGAAATTACACAGTAGCGATGATAAGCAGGAGGCAAGACTATTAAAATAAGTATAATTTATAATAATCATGACATAATTATTTCAGGTTTCTTTGTGAGTAAATTAAAAAGAAATCTTTTAAAGTATAATTAAGGCTGGCTAGTATATTATATTAAATTACAAAACATGATTAAGATAATCAAAATTACATTCTTAATGTCATAAAAGGCAAATGGAAAAGACTTCCTGACATTCACTCAGCATCTCAACATGGCACACTAATGCTTCCTAGACCAGCACTGAGCTTTAACCAGTGGGCAAGGTAGAAGTCATGAACCACCTTAGCTAAATTATAGGACGTAATTATTCATTCTTATAATTAAGCAAAAGAACAGAACCTTTTATGGCAATGGGAAAAGAAAAATTTCAAAAAAGGACTTAAATATCAAACTAGTCAACTATAAAGGCTTCAATGTCATTTGTTTATTTACTTATTCAATTTGCAATTCTGGGGATGAAACCCAGAGTCTTGTGCATACAAGATAATGCTCTATCACTGACTGAGCTATATCCCCATCCCTTTTGCTAATATTTTAGATTTCTGTTTCATTTTAGTAAAGAACTAGTTTTAGCAAATCTAAGTTCTACTGTCTATTTTTAATGCAAAAAATTAGAGCTGTGCAATGCTAATATGCATAACTTTATATTCAATATCACATTTCATTTTCAGAGTCTACAGATATTTATTACACTTAGTATTATGAGAAGATGTAGTACACCAATGAAGGTAGAAGGTTTGCCCTACAGTTCTGACTTATGGTAAGAATGAACACCAAGTCCAAGACATTTTCACTAGCACTATTAAGATTTGCTGTGCTTTTCTCATTGTGCTGCTTTTTAGCAGTAATTTCTGTTCAAGGCCATGATAACATAACATTATATATCTTCAAGAAWGCCTTGAAGGAGAAAAGCAGTATCTACTACTGTTATTCTTTCACAGATGAACTTTTACAATTATTTTATGATGTTCGGGGGATCAAAGAACCTGAGAGTTAGATTTAATTTATAAGCTTKCTTGTTTGTTTATTTATTTATTTAGGGGCTTGAACTCAAGAGTGCTTTACCACTGAGTTACATCCCCAGTCCTTTTAAAGTTTTTRTTTTGAGACAGGGTCTTGCTAAGTTACTTGGGGAATCAYGTTAAGATGCTAAGGCTGGTCTCAAACTTGTGTCTTTCTGTTTCAACCTCCCGAATCACTGGGATTACAGGTACATGCCACCACACCTAGCTAATACTTTTATTTTACTTGCTTATTATTTTTCATTTATTATGTTGGATATTTCTGAAAATAGCATTAGGGATCTCATTGTCTCTTTCATCAATGTTGTATGTATTTTTAATAAACAGCTGACATACACACATACACAAAATAAATGCACATGCCACTAAAAACACTATCACAGCAAAACAACACAAGCCAGAAAGTGACAGGCCATGGAGCCCATCACCCAAAGTCTACTACACCTTCAGTGACTCCCATTTTTGTTCCATCCGCTGCTTTTCATACTGCATCTGACCCACCTTGATTTTCATGCTAGAAAGTTTGGCCATTAAAGACTGGTAGAGAGACAGAGGAGTGAAAGAAAACTAGAGAGAAACAGACATACTAAATAACCAAGAAAACAGTATCAGTTTTTAAAGGAGGTTAGATAACTCAGAGAAATGGCAGGTTACATTCTGGGAGATTARTTAAGTCTTGTTTATTATTCAGAACAGTAGTGTTTATTTTCAAAGTTTCCAGCTTGGAGAAAAATATCATTTACTTATAAAATACCTTATTATCATATACTAAGTAGAAAACATTTTCATTTATATTATTGGTGACAGATGAGTAGTGGAGCTATTCAAATTTGTTTTTATAGGTAAGAAACTTACTTTGGTTGACTTAAGCTTTTTTTCATATTGAAGTCTTTCACTATCCATTTCACTGACTTTTAACCTTAAATCAYTGATCTCCTGAATTAGTCCCTGTCCAAAAAAAAAAAAAAAAACAAAAAAAAACAAGAAACACATTAGGAAAGTGGTAGCAGTTACCTCAGTTACCTGCTGTACCAAAGTAGCAGCTTAGTTTTTCTTTTTTTAAGTACTGGGGAAGTGCTCTACCACTGAGCACTGAGCCACATCTCCAAGTTCTTCTAATTTTTTATCTTGAGACAGGTCTTGCTACATTTCCCAGGCTGACCTTGAGCTTGCAATTTTCCTGTGTCAGACTCCAGAGTCACTGGGATTATGGGTATGCACTACYTGTGCCATCGAATATCTGATCTTAAGAAGGTGGGAAATCTTAAGAGGTAAACAGCTCCTAGGGTTTTAAAGTTGTGTGAATCAGGTCTGACAAATGGAAAACCAGTAAATGTATTTCCATAAGACCAAACTGTTTAGAAAAAAAATTTTTTGTAGTTGTTGATGGACAGCGTATTTATTTATTTATTTTCTTTCTTTCTTTCTTTCTTTCTTTTTTTTAATGTGGTACTAAAGATCAAACCTAGTGCCCCACACATGCTAGGCAAATGCTGTGCCACTGAGCTATAGCTACAGCCCCAAATCAAACCATTTTCTTATTTAAACACTGCTTTAAATTCCCAATGCTTCTGCCCTAAAGTGGTGGGCTTACAAAAATAAAAGATTAACAAAGTTCTACTATTTATATCTTGAGTGTCCCCAAGGACAAAAGCTGTGATCCCCAGTATGGAGCTGCTGGGAAGTGGTAGAACCTTTAAGGGGTGGGATCTACTGGGAGGTTCTGAGGTCTTTGCCATTTAAAGGGCCTGTAAGACCCTAACCCCTTCCTCTCTTTTTTGTTTCCTGGCCATGGAGTGAGCAATTCTGTTCTTCAACATGTTCTCCTGATGCTCTCCTACTTGCAAAAGGAACAAGGACAATTGATCATGAACTGGAACCTCCAAGACTGGGCCAAAATAAACATTTTTTCTCTTTATACATTATTTAAGGTATTTGACATAGTGATGGAAAGCTAAGTAACACAGAAAAGTAGTTTCATATCTGACTCACAACCATTTGTTGGATGTTTCTAGACTAAAACTATGAACTCTGTCTTTTAAAATAAACCAAAGAAATTTTCTTGTAAAGCCATTTACCTTGAAGGCCTTCTCACTGATACATAAGTATTTATAAAAAAATTTTTTWAAATAATTTCTTCCTTTGTCTACAAAAATACAGATTACCTTTAAATTCTTTAAACAAAAAGATTCTCAATTTGAAGATGAAGGTACTGTAGTTTACACATATATTTTACATAATACAATTTTATATTGGGAAAATGAGAAAGAAAACAATCCTAATGTTTTCATAATAGAATATAAAAAAACTTGGTATCTTTCTACTGCCACTTTAAAAAAAAAACTACTTTGCCTGTAAATTTTGCCTAAATATTGAGTATATATTTTGTCTAGAGCYCAGAGAGGAAGAAAAGAAATTTAGAATGTTAAACAATAATAACTCCTCCAAATAAGAAGCTCAGATACATTACAAAGGAAACTTTTTGTTTCCCCCTTTTCTTTTCAGCTATACATCACAAAGATTCCTCCAGTGGTTAATATCTTAATATCTCTTTCATCTTATATGACATTTATTTCTGGACAATGAGTTCATTGATTGTAGAGCAGAAGTATACAAACATGTCAAAAAAGTAGAATAATGCTTTAACAACTTTATTAACAGATTATTCTAAAATTATAAGTGTAATGATTCCAAGTCATAAATGCTGGGGAAAGGGATGCTACATAGGAATATACTTCCCAGTAAAACTATAAAAAGGGTTCTTGTAAAAAGGGTAAAACTATTCCCTACCTTTATAAAATTGCTTAATGATAATTATATAATGTTTCAGTAACAGAAAATAGATTTTTTTCCTTTTATGAGGTCAAGAATATGTGACATTACTAAAAAAAAAAAGTTTAGTTATGATCCCTTATTTTAAGTTCAGAACTGAAGTTCAAAGAAAGTCAGTTTCTCCCACTTAGTAATCATCCTTGCATAATACAAGTCATTAGTGATCTTCCTTTATCCAGTCTTTAAAATATATATGTTATGGTTTAGATAAGAGGTATTCTCCCAAAAGCTCATATGTGAGACTACAAGAAAGGTTAGAGGTGAAAAGATTGGGTTATGAGAGCCCTACTCTAGTCAGTGCATCAATCCWCTGATAAGGATTAACAGGGTGCTGACTACATGTGGCTGGAAGAGGTGGGTCACTGGGGGCGTGCCTTAGGGTTTGTATTTTGTCTGTGATTTTTGTCTCTTTGCTTCCTGATTGTCATGCCCTTCTTCCTTGATGTTATGCTTCACTTCAGGCCCAGAGCAATGGAGCCAGCCATCTACGGACTGAGACCTCTGAAATGGTGAACAAACTGTAAATAAACTCTTYCTTCTCTAAAATTGTTCTTGTCAGGTTTTTTGGTCACAGAAGTGGAAAGGCTGACTAAAACAAAATATTTTTCTACTTTCTCACTGCTACCAGCTTTGAGGTTCCTATCTGGCACTGTTGCATATTTTACCACTTCCTTTAGTGGCAATTTCCAAAAGAGAAGAAGCATAGTATATACTTCTAAACAAACAAAATTACTTGCCAAGCATGGTAGTACATGGTATGAAATCCCASTGGCTCAGGAAGCTGAGGCAGGAGGATCATAAATTCAGTCAGTCTTAGCAACTTAGCAAGGCCCTAAGCAACTTAGGGAGACCATGTCTCAAAATTAAATATAAAAAAAGGCTGGGGATGTGGCTTAATGGTTAAGTACCCTTGGGTTCAATCCCTAGTACCAAAAAGAAAAACAAACAAACAAACTACTCAATTATCTTTCAGGCAATACTTTGAACATGAATCTAAATTTCCAACTTAGAAGAAATAAATCTTTCCATATTAACTCAAGTTGGAAAACATGGAAATTGATCCCAAGTATGAAAATCTTAACAGGGGAATATTAATTATTTCAATTAACTTATCAGAATTTCAGTCCTGAAGAAAACATGTTATCTTCCCCTTTGTCCTTAAAAAGAACTCAAGTTAGGGCTCCCACAGCAATTCAGTTTCTGACATCTGAGTTCTTACCAGAAGAGGGCACTGTTGAACAATATTAACCATCTCTCATCAGCAATTCCTGGGACAATCAAGCCTGGAATCTTTCAAGGTTTCAATATTAACTCATAATCTTTTGGAAACTGCCTATATTTCTTCCTCAATTCAATGTTTTATTAGAAATTACTATTCAAATATTTTTAGATTCTAAGACAAAGTTAAAGGATTTGGGATTCRTGATACAGCTAGGAAAACATTTTGTTTCTATTGAACAATAACAGGAACATATGCACATCCAATTCAGCTTTAATTCTGAAGACTTTTAATTATTTTCTTATATAACATCACAAATATAAAATAGTCTATAATTTATAGGTATGTGCATACTACTTTTTACCAATAGTATTCAATATTTATTAGAAAATCATCAGAAACTGAGTTCTATGGGAAGTGTGATAACAAGATCACCTTGCCTACGGATGAGAATTCAAGAGTAAAGTAAGAAAGCAATGGGGGAATGTGAAAGAAAATGCAGACAAACTTCAGAAATGTAAACATTGTTCTGGGATCATACCAAGAAATCCCAAAACATCTGCAATTTAGTCCCAAAGTTGGGATCTCTTACCCAAATTAAACTAACAGTTGAACAGGTTAAGACTTCTTTTAAACTTTGCATATCTTTGTAGATGTTATGAAGAAGGCCACATCTTGATCCCTTTTCCTTTTTTTTTCCCCCTGTAGCAGAACTAGCTCCCCTGCCATGTTGTCTACCTGTTGACCAAGTTCTATTATTATGTTAGGCAGTGACTATGAAGTTAGGAAATGACAGAAAAAAGAAAGAAAAATCTCTAAATGGATTTTTAAAGAAAGCACAAAACCAAKAATTTTAAAGACATTGGGTAACTTTCTAAGTCTTTTTTAAGCGCTCCAGTCTCAATCAAAGGAAAAACATTGCTCACATAGGTRACAGAGCTTCAAGATTGAAACACAAATGAGTTAGGGATTTCCTTTTCCTATGGAGGAAGCCAGAAATAAAAACAAGACTTTTCATTAAAGCTAAATCTTTGACAGGAAATTTAATTTTGCAAATAATAATGGGGTAAATCGCATTACCTCAAATTGGACTTTCAAACTGTGGACAATAGATAATATACATGATTAATCTGTGATCATGGCAGTACACAGTTGATATAAATGATTTAATATGGTACCTCCCCATCCTCTTAAGGAAGAAAATGAAATAGAAGAAAAGGAGGAGAGAATTTGGAGAATTTCTACAGCTCTTTACATTTAACTAATTTTATTTATTTATCTATTTATTTTCTTATTTTAGTTTGGGGACTGGACCTAGATCCCTTCACATGCTAGGCAAACACTGTGACACTGAGCTACATCCTGGGCCCTACATTTCATTTTAAAGAACAAAACTACAAACTGGAACACCTGGGTTAACAATAAAATGGGGAGAACAGACAAGTTTRCTTAGCCAGCCACAGGTATTTCAGGTTATAGAATCTACCCTGAGTTTCAAAAAGGTACAATGAATTTCATTTAATTGATTTATGTGTGGAGCAGACCAAAAATAGAAGGCCAAATTAAATGACCTCCACAAAGCTTTGTGATTGTATGATTGCATGATGTGGACATATTCTCTAAATACATAAAAACATCCTCTTGGGTGGGGGTTGTGGCTCAGTGGTAGAGCACTTGCCTAGCATGCACAAAGCCCTGRGGYTGATCCTCAGCACCACATAAAAATAATTAAATACAGGTACTGTATCCAAATACAACTAAAAAATAAAATATTTTTWAAAAATCCTCTTATTATGTAAGTAAATAATCAGTGTGCCTCAATAAGGGMTACTAATAAAATCATGCATATAAATACATTTATTTTAAAACTTAAGGGACCTGTGCGGGACCCAGGCCCACAGTCTGGGTCCATCCTGCCACAGGCAGACAACCACTGGAGCTCAGGTTCCAGCACAGGAATGCCTCTTCCAGCCAGCAGACCACTGCAGGAGCTTATACCCAGCCCAGATTCGCCCACACGGACAGGGTAGGTCCAAGTTCGCCACCTCCCCCGCACCTGGGACCCGAAGCCTAACCCACTTGCATCTTGGGACACTGCAAACATCACCATCGTCTTCCCCACACAGTAGTCCCTACATTTTTGACAAGAGACAGGGCCTAGAAGCAGTT